GAGCTGCATATTGAACCAGCCTTGCAACCAGGGTTTGCTCCTCCACGATCATACCCAAGACCCAGTCCTGTCTCCTGACATTCAACACACGCACTTTTTGTATGCTGTAGTCCCTGGCTGATTTTTTCATTCGCTCCTCCTTGCCCTTTGACAGCTCTATGAGAATTGGCATCCTGGGCAGCCTGACAGCTACTTCCTATCTGGAGAGAACTGCGTGGTCATCGTGTGGCATGATGGGGGGCAATGGAGTGACGTGCCTTGCAACTACCACCTGTCCTACACATGCAAAATGGGGCTAGGTAAGCATCCCATGCAGGGCTTTCCTGCAAGCATGGAACTGGAAGCTGTGCGTTTCCCCCCCAGGGGACATTGCCATGAGAAACAATCATTTTCACTGACCTTTTTGAGGCAAAGCTGAACTCCCCAGGCCCCATGAACCCTATGTGCTGGCCAGCTGGGCAAAAGAAGGGGCTTTACCAACCTCACTCAGCCCCTGGACAGTTATGACTCACTGATCACGGGGAACATGCTCAAAGATATTCAAGGGCAAGTTTCAGGGTTTGCGCTTTGGCTGTAATCCCAAAATTGGTTCTAGCAACATCTGGACCTTCTCTCTCCATTGTACAGCATAGCCTCTGTGATGCTTACATCCAGGTGACTGGCAGCAAAAGTAGGCTGTTTTCCCCTCTGTAGTAGGCTTGGACTCATTTTTCCAGTGGGCTACAAAGAGAACCAGATGAAATTGGTGCAAATGGTACAGCTGGTGTGGAAAAGAGGAGCTGAAGCATCTTGCCAGACATGTAGAACAAAAAAATCCTCCTAATATTATCTGGGTAGAAATTGGGAAATTTCCCACTCCCTCTCACATGGTCTGTGGGTCCCAAGTGGGTTGAGCAGGGAGACAGCCTTGCAATGGGATGCTTAGAGGACTCTTCTTCCTCCAGGACTTTGGAAGGATTGTAAGGTCATCCCTGCCATGAGCCCAGCACATATCCTTGCCTTTGCCTGCCTTCCCTTTCCCCCCTCCCAGTGTCTTGCAGCTCCCCACCAGAGGTGACCAATGCCCGTATGTTCGGCAAACCAAAGCAACGCTACGAGATCAGCTCCATTGTGCGGTACCGGTGCCTGGAGGGCTTCACCCAGCGCCACTCACCCATTATCCGGTGCCAGGAGGAGGGGATGTGGGAGCATCCCCAGCTTGCTTGCCTGCCGAGTGAGTGCCTGCACCACGGGGTTAAATCCCTGCAGTTTTCACACACCCGTGAATTGGGATGAAAAGTGGCATTTTGGGGTTGAAAAAAGGATTCTGCTGAAAAGCTGAGGGTGGATTAACCCCAACTCCAACTCCCAAAGGGGAGTGATGGATTTTCCATCAGTCCAAATCTCTGCCTGTGAGTCTGGAGAAGATGAGGCTGAGGGGGGAATTTGATCACAGTCTTCAAGCACCTGAAGGGCAGTGACATAGAAGATGGAGACAGACCATCCTCTGCAGCTACTGAGGCAGGAGCAATGGCCCAAATGGCAGCAGGGGAAAATGAAGCTGGTGATGAGGAAGGACTTTGTCACTCTGGGACGGGGGGGTGGTCAGGCTGCGCAGGGAGGTGGTGGATTCATAGTCATAGAAAGTGAGGGTGGGAAGGGACCTCATGAGGTCACATCTAGTCCAAGCCCCTGGTCAAAGCAGGACCAGCCCCAGCTACATCATCCTAGCCAAAACTTTGTTGAGCCAAGCCTTAAAAATCTCCAAGGATGGAGATTGCACCACCTCTCTGGGGAACCTGTTCCAGTGCCTCACCACTCTGCTAGGGAGAAAGTTTTTCCTAATATCCAACCTCAACTTCCCTAGATGCAGCTTGAGCCCATTGCTCCTTGTTCTGTCATCTGCCCCCACCAAGAACAGCCCAGCTCCATCCTCTTTGGATCCCCACTGCAGAGAATTGAAGGCTCCTATTAAATCTCTTCTCAGTCTTCTCTTCTCTAGACTAAATAAGTCCAGTTCCCTCAGCCTCTCCTCAGAAGTCCTGTCCCCCAGACTCCCAACCACTTTTGTTGCTGTCCGCTGGACTCTCCAACTTGTCCACATCGTTTCTGCAGCAGAGGGCCCAAAACTGGACACAGGACTCCAGATGTGGCCTCCCCAGTGCTGAAATCAAGGGGAAGAATCACTTCCCTCCATCTGCTGGCAGCACTTCTACTAATGCAACCCAGGATGCCATTAGTCTTCTTGGAAACCAGGACACACTGTTGAAATATCAAACCCTGGAAGTTTTCAAGAGCAGCTGAGACACAGGCACTAGACTGGGATGGTTTAGTCAAGGATGATCCTGCCTTGAGTAAGAGGCTGAAAGAGCAGGAGCCTCCTGAGGGCCGTGCTTCTGGCAGATCCATTCCTCCCAACAGAAGTTACTAGGCTCACTACAGGAATAACACAGTGTAATTTTGTGCCCTAGAGTAGAGGATTTAATGGTTCTTCTAGCCTTATAATACACCTAACTATGCCAGCACCAGGAGTGATGTCTGACCCACAGTTTCCTTCCTTGCCTCTCTCTCCAGGTGCGACTCAAACCCCTGAGGACTGAGCCTGGATGCAGGAGGGAAGACCTCACTTCCCGGGGCATTGTCACTGGGGCTGGTTGCAAACCACACGGGGAAAGCTTCAGCCCCGCAGCCTGGGCACCAGCCCACACCACCACGATGCCTTCCACCCCCTGTGCGTTTGGTGGATATCTGTATAAAGAAAAAAGTCTAGTAACTAAAGATTCCCTTTTAAAAAAAAAGAAAAAAAAAAAATCAACAGCAACATAAAATGTAGCTTTTCACTTTGCGCAAAGAGTATTGTGCCTCCCAAACTGTAAGGGCTGCTCGAGACAAGGATGGTGCAAGCTCCGACCCGTAAACAGAGCTGCGTGATGGTGTATGGAGTCGCTCTCGCCAGCCAGCGGATGTATGCACTTCATACCTTGGCATTCAGCTCCTCGACTCTTTGGTTGGTTGGAACTGATTTGGCTCTGTAGAAAAATAAATCACACTTCCCATATAAATATGGGCCCAGTTTAGAAATAAGCCAAGGGGAGGGGTATTCCCAACCCTCCCCACCCCCCAATGCTGGAGGTGCAAAGCAGGGACAGTGCTGGACACTGAGGTCAGCTCTTCACCAGCTGGAGAGGCTCAGCATGTCTTTCCCCTGCCTGATTAGACTCCTTTACACTTCCAGACCATCCTAGAGGGCCCTGAGCTTCATCAAAACCCATTTCCCAGGTGGAAAGGTAGGGAAAGCATACGCTTGGCATAGCAAAGCCAGCCAAACCCCTGGGGCTCATACAGCCAGCAGCAGGGGATGGACTAGATGGCTTCTCAAGGCCCTTTCCAGCCCTGTTGTCTCAGGGTTGGCATAGCTCATGCCAGCCAGACTTAGAAAGCTCTGTCGCTCAGCTTCTACCAGCGCAGGCCACATCTCTGCTACACAGCTTCCCCAATAGATGCTCGGTAGGACAGACTCACCTACCCCATTGCTCTCTGAGTAGGGGTAGGTAGGTCAAGAGATGATCAAGGGCCAGCCCAGATGAGGCACATCAGTTCCAGTAGCCAACAGCCCAGGAGGGAGGGGCATGGCTAGCATCTGATCCAGATGATGGGGACCGCCCCCTCCATCACAGCCAGGTCCAAAAACCCCCATTCCTCCACCCCTTGTTCAAAGTGAATAACTTTTTTTTTACGCTGTTGCTGATATTAAAACAAATAAACCAGTGGAGAAGACCGTGGTTTGCTTTGTTTCAGAGCAGAGGTGAAAGTCTCTCTGTTTCTGTTTCCAGCCTCCTAGCTGCATCTCAGTAGCGCTGATGGCTCTGCAGAGGCAGGGCAGAGTGCCTGGGCCCGTCCCACCTGACCCCTTCAGCCAGGCTTCTGGTAATTTGGGGACATCACCCGAAACTGCAGCACCAGGCTCCCCGAAAATGGGGACGGTGAGAGCGTGCCACAGTGAGCCTGGGTCCCACCCCCAACCCTGAGGGCTGGCCAGGGGTTGTATTCTATTCATATTAACATAATAATATAGTAATACGAATAGAATATCTTAGTATATAAGAATATATAACAATATTGTAATAATATTAATGCTTATTACAATATGACTGTTTCTTGCTTCATTATTTTATAACGAAAAAGTATTGCGTACGACACATTTGACAGCTCAAAAGTGGCCCGTGCTGTAAATTAGTAGTAGAAGGTTGGGCGGGTAGCATGGTGATGAGGTGCCCACTAGCATCTTTTACTTATAAAAGCACATTGACAAGTTGTGAGTGTTAAACCTGTAACATGCAAAATAGTTGCGGGAATCATCATGATACATTGCAGGACACAAAAAAACCCCAAAGAATATATCGATCTAGACAAGGTCATGAACATGTACAAGCACCCGGGGATGCTAGGCACTGGGCAAGCAGAGAACAAGACAGTGGGTCTCTGCCCTGAGACACTTACGGTCCCGGTAGGAGACAGGTGGGAGAGGTGGTATTTGCAGTATTGCTTTGACTGGGGAAGATGCTTTGTAAAGCCAGAGGCAAGAAGCAACACTGGGGGGCACCATACGGACTAACTGGTTCAGAGGGGCACGAGCTTTTGTAGACAACAGCCTACTTCATCAGCTGCTTTGGAAGTGCTCTTAACTGCTTTAACCATGCAGCAAGGCCTTACCTGGTCTGTTGTCAGCTTCAGTTGCTGCCTCAGTGTCTTCCTTGGGGTATCTCCAAACCAGCACCTAGTTCCTGCAGGATGGGGATGCTGATGTCTGAGCAGCCTGAGCTGCCCACACAGAGCCTCAAACAGAGTGGGGACAGACAGGGGGGCAAGACGCACCCCGGGCCTACAAGAGCCCAGCTCCCATAGGCAGGATGCTTTATTTTGGAAATTAAACTCTCTGAGCCCACATGGATTCCTTAGCTTTGGAGGGGAAATTTTCACTGGGAAATTATGTGGAAATGCATGTTTTTCTCTCCTCCCTTTCTCCACCTCCTGGTAAAAGCCAGGGGCAGGGAGGGAAGAATAAAGATCAATTAAAAGTGAGGGAAAGTGACACTTAAAAGCAAGACTCTACAACTCTTGGTTCAGAGATGATACCTTTTATTAGACCAACTAAGGCATTGCAAAAAAAATGATCTTTTTCTGCAAGTTTTGGGCTCATGTGCCCTTCATGAGCCCGAAAGCTTGCAGAAAAAGATTTTTTTTTGTGATTTCTTAGCTGGTCTAATAAAAGGTATCATCTCTGAACCAAGAGTTGTAGTTTTGCATTTCTTTCTGTCTCAGACCAACACAGCTACCAAATACATCCCTGAACCCCTGAAAAGCAATACACTCCTGTTCTCTGCGCTAGTGCCTAGGGTTGAGCAGGCACAGCTAGGTCAGCAGTGCCTCCCAGTGGAGACACCCACTAGGGACAGAAATTACACATAAACCAGTATAAGTGACTGGAAACAGGTTCAAATCTGTAACACAACAGGGGTAGGGACAGAAATTACACATACACCGGTTTAAGTAATCAGAAACTGGTTTAAACCTGTAACAGAACAGAAGTTCAGTGCACATAAACCCATTTCAAAATGACTGAAACAGGTTTAAAACAAACCTGGCTGAATGTAGCACCAGACTTAACTGATTTGAGCCAAACCAGTTTATGAAACTTCTGTCCCTGACCCAGAAGTTCAGTACAGATAAACCACTTTCAAAATGGCCAAAATTGTTTAAGTCAGAGGCTCCCAAACTCTGACAGATTGGGCACCACCAATTTAAAACAATATAACCTTAAGTAGCACCAGAAAATTTGTGTCATATAAAGTAATTATAATAAGCCTGTTAACGCATACCACTGACAGGTTGTCTGTGTACCACTGGTGATACATGCACCACAGATTGGGAACCGCTGGTTTAAACTAAACCTGGATGGATGCAGTATCAGACTTAACTGATTTAGATTAAATCAGTTTACTGAACTTCTGTCCTAGACCCCCATGTCACCACAAAGAGCAGAGCTGAACGCCTTCCCGACAAACTCAGCTGGCTACAGATCTCTCGGCCATGCCTACATCCAGGCCAGATACAGACATTGCACATAAACTGGTCTAAGTGATCAGAAACTAATCTAAATCTGTAACCATACAGAAGTTTGGCATGCATAGATGGGTCTAAAATGGTGGAACCAGGTTTAAGATAGACCTGGTTTAATGTTCACTCAAATCTAATTGATTTAGGTTAGACTAGTGAATCCCAGATCCAACAGTTTCCGTGGCATCGTGAGCTCAGCAGCAAGTTGTGGTTTTTAACTCAACGTGCTCCTAGCTGACAGCTCCATCAGCAAAACTTTCCAGCTCTAGAAAGGCGGGGATTGTGGGTAACAGCTGTAGGAGTACTGGGTTCTGTACGGTCACGGGCTTCCCGTAGGACCTGGGTTGAGCTACTTGATCTAACAGAGCCTCTTCAGTAATGTGGGAATAAGCAGACACCCTGTTTGTCCTTTTGATTTCCAGCAGCACGTGTTTGTGCAGCACCCAGCCCCAGGGAGCCCTGCGGTCCATCTGTGCAACCAGCTGCTATTGCAATAGTGCTAAGGGTTCAAGGGAAGGAAGCAACTGGGGTAGGACTGTCAGCAAGCTCAGAATGGCTCTTCTGGGATCTTTTGCTTTGCCAGCTACTGGCAAGAGATCAAACCAGCATGTCTGAACCTTGGGGAGGTTTGAATCGGGGCAAAATCTGGATCCATGCAGCTATTTCTTCTAATGCTGCAACCCCAGCCTTGGATTCCACCCATACATTGGATGTAAATGCAGAGCCGGGGAAGACGCATGCTTGCTCTGCTGCTGTCACACAGGAAAGGTCACCCATCATTTAGGAGTGCTGCGGCTGAAGCCTGAGCAGCCAAATGTCCTCTGAACTCTGCTGGTTTTGGGTTCAAAATCTAGCATCGGCTCAAGGAAGATCAGGCTACATCTCCAGGCAAGTAAAAAGCAGGGAGAGGAGGGAAAAAAGGTGCTATTTTTGGGGCAGATTTACCATCATTTTATTAAATTACAAGGATAAATTCAATTAGTCAAACTCGTTAATTTGTAACATCTGCATGCTCAAAAAACCCCCAAACAACCAAATTCAGGGCAAAGTGGCCCTGAGCCAAACTGAGGGGTGAAACTCAGGCCAGATTCCCAGCAGTGGAGACCAGACTTTCTTCCCAGAGCAAGGCAGAGAGTCCATGGACCCTGGCCCCAGCAGCGGAGGGGAGTCATCTGAGTCCTGCTAAAATGGATGCTTATGGGACAGTGCGAGTGAACCGCAAACTGAATGGAGACCCACTGGGACAGAGAAGTACGTATGCAAGATGCACATCTCACGCCCTGGGTGGGTAGCCAGGCATGAAGGGCAGAGACCCCCCTGCTGCATGTCCTGTTGTCCCCTCCCTCAACCCCTACTTCACCGAGTAGCAGTAGGTCCCATACGTCCTCTGTTCCTTGTTGGGGAAACCGAAGCTCCGGACGCCGGGGTCAGGGAGGCCCCCACAGCGGGCCCGGGGGATGGTGATGGGATAGCGCACGCTGCCGTCCGCCAGCCAGCCCCCATCACAGCGGTCCAGCTGGGAGAACTTCCACGCTGAGTAGAGCTGCCCGACCTTGGCGATGGTGGCGCCGTGATTGCGGCAGGCTTGCCCGGCCTCCTTGAAGTTGAGATGGCCACGGATGAAGTAGACCCGGCCTGGGGGATGACAGGAGGGATGGGATGGTAGGCGTCAGGGCTAGAG